AAAGAGTAAAAAGTAAGTAAAAAAGTTTTTATTATTCAAAAACTTTTTCAGGTTAAAAAGAATTTTAAAATGTAAATTTTTAAGAAAGAAATTTAAATTTATGAAATATGAATAGTATAAAAAAATCGAAGCACTTAAAAACTGAACTAAACATACTCTTAATAAAGTAATTTATAACTATTTTTTTTTAATAAATTTGATGATAGGTCAAAAGGGATAATTACTCTTTTTATTCATATCCCTCCCTACCAAAATCAATATTTCTCAGAGCTTTTTAGCAGGTTGGTTGACTATACCTCGTGTAAAATGCCGAACTTTATCCAAATAAGTAAGCATCGTGTGCTAAATAGCAATCTATAAATAAGCGTCATCAACGGGTTCATAATAAGAGAACACTCACGATAAAAACGAGACATAATTCCATGTGCAGTGATTTAGATGAAATAATTATCAGACAAGAAGTAAACCATAATTAACCCTTTTGGAGCTTTGATGACTTTAGAAAGTCATTCGAAACATGTCATTGGACTGATAACAACTTTAATAGATGGTTCACGTGGGTTAATCCTACTCTTTCTCAATGGAGACCAATAAGATCTAGCAAGTGTAGGGCAATGTGGGGCAAAAACAGGAATGGGAAATAAGAGTTGTTGCTAACCCACCAACAACATGATCGGTCTAGTGGTACTCTCTCCTTTAAATGAAAACAGGAGGTCTTTAATTTGAGCTGTATAATATGCGAGTGAGGTTCGTGAAGATGCAAGTAGTCTCCTATTATGCAACATAAATAAAAAAAATTAAAAGAAAAGAAAAGAAAAGAAGTAGTTGTTGCTAATACTATTTGGTGGGGGAAGTAGTTGTTGCTAATACCAATTGGTGGGAGAATTCATACATGTATTGACATTTGCACTACAAAAAGGGCACAACTAAAGGCAAGAATGGGCTAGTAGTGGAAAGGGAAAAGCTTTGAAAATAATTGAGGAGGAATGTGTAGCAATCCTTGCTGTGTTTGCTTCTACTCCTAACAACATTCAAATCATTACCAAGGTCTTTTGCCAATCCCGATGGCATACAATGTTGTATTTCAGTGGGACCTTTACCCACATGGCAATCCACCATCATTAACTGGACTGTGAAATCCTCATCATTGCTGCCTGATTCAGGATGTAGCAAAAGCCTGACTCAGGCTGTGTATGGGTTCGATTTGCTTCATCATTGAAGATTTGATTAAGGACTTAAAATAATTACAGTGTTTTGCATTTCAGTCTAGAATATATACATGCAAAGTGCTTGGCTTCTCAATGACGTATGATTTTACGATACTGCAGTTTGGAATTCAGTAGACTCTAACTACAAATCATTTTGCTTGCATAAGACATGAGGACCAAAAATGAATGAATAATGTAATTGAGCAGCTGATGCGTACCGCTGCAGGAAACTAGAATGCAATTTCTTCAAGAACTTGAAGAGTCTTCTGATGAACCTGGAGAAATGATCAATAGAAATGAGGCCTTTGACTTTGACATGAAGAGATGCACACGGCTGGAAAGTGGTAAAATTTTTAAATAATCCTGAAATGATTATTAATGCACTGAAATTGGTCAAGGAAATTATAGATAGATCATTTAGCAAAAGGTATATTCACTTCTGGTATCCACTAACTTCAAAACCTTAATTCTTCGTCAAGGTTAAGGGTTCAAATCCGAACAATGTTAAGCACTAACTTACTTTGACAATCAAAAAGAAATTCCAGCAACCACAGGCTAAGATTTAAAGTTCAAACGACTACTATATCAAATAATCAGGTTTATTTGCATATGGAAATATCAAAATCACATCAACAGCTAATTTTTAACTGTTCATGGAGATATTATAAGTAACATGTTTATTTCAAGAAACACTAGAAGGAATCATTGCTTGTACACTACAGTCAAATGAGACATGCAATCAACTTCAAGAGTGAATGACCAAGTTCAAGGCAAGAGAGTAGAATGTACCCATTCCAGATGTTGTGCAGTAATACCAGAGACATTTCCAGCATATATACCACCCAACACCTGAGAACTCAAAGAAAATGGATTCTTCAGTGTTGCAATACATGTGAAACATGGAAATCATTGCAGCTAAAAACCATATAAATTATAAGGCTGTGCCCTTTTTGCATGTCCTAAGGTTCACCAGGCAAGATTTAGTCATAATTCATAACTCTATAAAAAATAATAGCAGAAGGTTACCTTGGTTACGGTCTCAAGAAACATGCCAGGGCGAACAGGAAGTGGTTTCTGTCCTGTAACACTGGCCTGGATATCCAAAAAAAAGAGAGTCAATGCACCAGAACACCAAATAACTAACCAGGACACGTACTTAACCCCTTCTTTCACAAATAAAGAGATAGAATCCAAACAAATGAAGTGAAACTGACCCGTCCAGCAATTCCAGCAGATCTTACTCTGCTATCAGTATAATCGCCATCACTGAAAGAATTATCATCACCTTCATCCTTTCCTAACATAACATTTTTTATCATTTCCTTGACAGCTTTCCCAGGTTTTAAAGCTACCAGTTTTGTTAAGAAGTTTACCTGCATTCACAAAGATTCTATGCTGAGAACTACCAAATTATCAGAGTATGTTTCTTTAAAATGATCTTAAAGATACCAAGTGCATAATACTTGAGAAATATTAGGCTGGTAAACAATAAACCCCAAGTCTTGTGAACTGAATCAAGATGGCACAGTTGCAAATATACATACTTCTGACTGAGGAAGAGTATTAAAACCACGGTCATTTCTTTCGTCCAGAATTCCACCTCCCATCATATTCCGAGCTTCTTCTCTGATCAAAACAAGCCTTGCAAGTAATTTCCGATCTGGAATTACTGGTCGAGTTTCCATTGTCTGCAAAAGCATTGATGTAAGCAGAATCAGTTAGAGCTAAGAACAATTAGATAGAATCCACAATGCAAACCAAGATCAACCAAGGTAATAAAGCAGAAGGAAAGACAACCTTATATGAAGAGCTAAGAAAAATATTGAAACTTGAAACAGGATGCAAAAAGTTTTGGAAGATTAACCAAAGCGATAAAGCAGAAGCAAACCAAGAGCAAAGAAAAATGTTGCAAAATTTAACAAAGAGTTGAAATATTTAAGTTTTATGTAAATTAAAACTATGTTAAGTCAGAACATGATACTTACAAGCCTTTATGCTAAATTAATAAACATTATTTCTAGCTAAGATATTGTAGAAGAGACAACTTTATTTCACCATCTCTTTTGATTTTTCCTTGTTTGAAGTAGCAATTTGTAGGCAGAACCCCCAAATCCACCTTTTAAATAGATCGGCAAGGACAGATCCACCCCTCAAAAAAATGGAGGGACAAATTACCCCTCTAAATTATAAATCAAGACAAATCACCCATTTTTCAACGTTTTCCATTAAAAAATGCTGATGTGGCAAACACAATTCTGACGTTTTTCATTAAAAAATGGGTGATTTGTTTTGATTTATAATTTGGAGGGGTAATTTGTCCCTGCATTTTTTTAAAGGGGTGAATCTGTCCTTGCCAATCTATTTACGGGGTGGATTTGAGGGTTTTGCCCAATTTTTAAATAGATCTAATACGACTTGTTTTTAAGAAAAGAATCTAGACGAGACATCAATTCATCACTATATGACTTGCATTCAATAACTATTATTCTGTTTGCACAATCTTTAGTCCACATCTAAATTAAAACCTCTGTGCCTATGGATCACTTAACTGGAAAACTGAGGAAACCAATTTCATTTATAAACAGAAAATGCAAGTAGAGAACACCAAAGAAAGAGAAAAAGGTTTTTTTCCATAGTTCCATTGCTTGCAGATATGGGAACACTTCATGCACAAGCCACAAGACATCAACTGAAACAAGAGTTATGCTTCACAAACCACAAAAGCAAAAATTAAAACAGGAATCATATGTAGTCAAAAGCCCTCACATATCAAGAAGATGATAGCATGGATGAGACTTCATGCCTTTACCTCGAGTAAATCATCAGCCTGGTTTGCTACATCATTTAGATTTGCTCCAGGAATATGAACTTTGGTTCCATTCTCAGCTTTAAAAGCACCACCACCAGCAGCTACTCGGCGTAATAGTTCATGTCTACTTTCCTTTTGGGGTGTTCTACAGAGGAGACCAATAACTTGAACCTTGGGGGTGGAGAGAAATAAATCACATGAAATTAGTATTAAATAAATGTTTATTTCTAGATTTTGGAACTAACTTTCAGCAAAACCATTGCCATGTGTTTGGCCTCAAGAAGCATCCTTACATGTGGAGGGCATTTTTTTGTAAGATGTGATAATACAGTCTCCTTGATTATCTCCAACAAGGACTTGCGCTGAATAAAATGACACAAACTTTTAAAATTAGTATCTAAGTTTGATGACAGCCATCTGAGGCACAAGACCTTTAATCACAAGAACAAAAATCATCAAGTGATAGAGAAATCAAACTGTGACTAACAATAGAATAACAAAGGAATGGTCCAGTAATAGCTTCTCTCTTCTCTGTTTAATTTTTTTTGCTAAACAAGGAGATAACCACAATTTGAAATCGTGGGATCATGAACACCTCAACAGACGTGAAAGATGGTCACTAAAACAAATGCTAATGCTCTAGTTAGTGCTTTTTCTGAATCAAGTTATTCTTATACAAGTATAAGCACAAAAACTCCACAGCTCAAAGGGTTTGTTTATTTTCCTGAAGCTTCAATTTTGTATAGCAATCATGCAATTAAGTTCAGTCTCATAGCAATCACATCCTAAAGTGGACAACCCACATCCCTTAAAGAAATCGGCAATAAAAATGAACTTAAATTCTGACAAATGTGTATTGAAACAGTACCTTATCATCTTGGTCCTTTTCAGCAAGTTGGATCATGTAATCTAGGGCCATCATGAACCCAGATTCCATCTCATCAACTCTTTTCCCTATCACTCCTTGTGCAGCCAATTCCACAGCCACCTCCTCAGATGCCTCATCCATGTTCATATCTTCCAGCTGTGCTCGCATTATACTTCAGATGGTCAGAACACATTACAAAGTTTGACTAATAGAATTGTAAAGATTAGGAAGAGGAATACAAGATTACAAGGATAATGTTTGATGCTATTTTTAGGAACCTTAAACCCCAATCCTCTGACTTTGAACTTCATATATTACAGGGTACCAAGTGACATGTTTGGACACACCAGTTTCAGTTGTGGAAACAAAAGAATATAAGAGGAGTCTGTAACTTACAAGAGTAATAATCTCTTCAAGAACAGAAGTTACTTGCTCGCCTCCTTTGAGTAAAGCTTCACACTGAGTTGCGTCCAACTTCTGATTCCCCAGTTCTGGTTGCTGGGTCCTGTGCGTTCTGTCCTGCGAGTCTAATTCATCATCTGGGTAACCCCCACCCACTTCGTAGCTGGATGCCAAGACCAGGAAATGCTTCTTCTTAAGGGGTTGCTTCAGTTGCCAGTGATGGTGAGGGTGGGGGCGGTGAGACGCGAGTGATGAGGGGACGAAGAGTGAAGAAAGAGAGAGGACTTTGGGGGGAATGGATGCCGGAAATGTGGAGTAGAAGTGGAAGGTGGTCTGCAGCATTCCTCCGTCCCTGGGGGTTTTGGGTTTTGGAGATGAATCCGGTGGCTGAAATCCTTAATGGGAAGGCCGAAACAAACGATTATGGAAAAAAATAAAAAAAATAAAAAATAAAAAATTAAAGCGCCGTCTGTGGGAATCGAACCCACGACCACATGGTTAAAAGCCATGCGCTCTACCGGCTGAGCTAAGACGGCCTTACGCTTGTCGGACTCAATAAATATTATTTTTACTATAACTGCTTGTATTTATGTATTCATTAACTGACAATTCAGCCACTAACGAACTCACAGCAACAACAGCGAACAAAATAACTAATTCGCTAATAATATTTTTAATAAGAAAATAATGGTTAAAAATTATTTTAAATTTAAATTACATAACATATAAATTAATTTAAATAAGTGATTATTTGATGATGGATATAATATCCATCTTTAGTATTAGGGGTTTGTACTTTAAAATTTTAATTTTCATAAATATATAAAATAAATGTAGAAGATAGATTTTTAAGATTACTTAAAAATAAATAAATTTTAAAATACATACAAATTAACATAAAAATACACTGACCATGCAAAAAAGAAAAAAGGAAAAAAATCAACTATCAAGGATAACCATTCAAATATCTCTCCTCCTAGTGGCTAGGAAAGTGCAAGAAAGTACTTGGTTTCCTTGTCGTTGTACACACAATTCAAACCAAGAAAACCCAGGGGTTAGGGCAAACAAACTTGCGTATGGACACGGGCCTTCTTGCAGTTTCAGCTCATGATATGAGTTCGGCCAAACCAATAAAAAAAAAAAAAAAAATCTCATGTGACAAAAGAAAAAATTTTAGTATCCTAAAAATATAAACAATTAATTTTAAAAAATTAAATAAAAAATACATGTATTATGGGACAAAGCTGTAAATAACTTTTTGTTAAAACAATTTAATTAAATAATGGTTAAACCCCTAATTTTGTCCTTCAATTATTGTATGGATCCTTAAATTAGTTTTTAAATTAAAAAATTTTTTGATTTGATTTCTAAAATTTTTACATTTAGCTCTAAGTTTGCCCTTGCATTAAAAAATAATTAATATATTCACTATTTAATGATAGAATGTCATTAGTTTACGGTTATACGTCACATTAGTATATATTAGTTATTTTTTAATGAAAAAATCAACTTAGAGTTAAATTTAAAAATTTTAGAGATCAAATCAAGGACTTTGTTAGTTCAACAACTAATTCAGAGGTTCGTATAATAATTAAGAGATCAAATTCAGGATTTAACTTCAAATAATAATGTATATTAGTTCTAATTTTTTTAAATTTCAATTTAAAAACATCATCTTTTTTAATATTTAAAACACTACATCTACTTCTTAATATATTTTTAATTACTTTTCTTTTCAGACAGTCAATTTGTATGAAAAAATAGAAAAGAAAGAGAAAAAGGTTCTTAAAGATATCATTATTTTTAAAATATCAAAATGCTCATAAGATACAGAAAAATTAAATCTAAACGCTCTTTAACTGCAAATGTGAAGGAATTATTTTGTCACTCATACAAATAAACTTCTTAAGCCTTCATTTTATAGGAAACTAATGGACACCTTCAACAGATGTGTCCAATCCAAATAAACACTCCCTTTGTGTATTTCTTCCAATGCCTCTTTCCCGACTATGAATGACCAAAGCAATTGAAAATCAAACTTTAAACATGTCAATTTATTTGTTCTGACACACTCTTTTGTCCAATTATGAGCATTCGAATGGCGTTCATGATATTGATCTTGTCGTTTAATAATCTAACGGCTCTGAATGCCACTTGATCAACATGTCTTTAAATCATTACATGCAATGATCATGTCATTCCAAAGTTTTGATTACGTCCATTCGTAAAAGTCCAAAATGCCCAACTTCTCACCAATTATTTCAAATTATCCAACGCAGCTTAAAAAAAAAAA